AAGGAGGAGAATTAATGCGAATGTTGACAAAGTCGGCTGTTAATTCTCTGATGGGAGACACGTGTAACGTGTCTCTAACGCGCTACCTGTTCCCTTACTGGGAATTAGGAGCTTTCCCTAGCTTTTTGATGCATCAACAATCGCGTCGCTTTATTTGCACTACCACGAAAAAGGGAGGAAAAGTGGCAGTGTGTAGAAGAAGAGAGCGATCGCCCTGTCGGAGACACCACGATCTCACTCGTATGGTGCAACGCTCATCGCAAGGGGCGCGGCGTAACTGAGCTCGGCAAACCAACCCTCATTCTCTGTCTCTGTCGGTGCCTCCCTCTCTGCCCAACCTCGCTCTATCGCTTCTCCTCACCCCCTGCAACCACGTTTTCCCACTCTCACGCAGTCTCCGTACTTTCCTCCGCTCTTCTTCTAATGCTACCCCTTCTCTCTCATACGGTTTTTCCTTCCACTTCCTCTTCCTACATCGCACTTTTCTTCATCTTGCTCGATCTTGCGTTGTGACACGCAAAGCTTTCTTTCTTCTACGTTGCAATTGGGAAGCCTTTATTCTTTTTTTTCAGGCTAATCCATCGTTGAACCATGCAGAGGCCAAGGACTAAGAGGAAAGTGATACTCTAGCACATTTTTTTGTAATCTGTTTCATCTCTTTCTTCCTTGATACATATCATTCAATTTCATTTTTTGTTCACGCACGCGTTTTAATTATTCGTTGCAACTACAAAGTCCTAATTTTTTTTTCAAAATAATCTATCGTTGAATTATGCAGAAACTGAAGAAAGTACTATTCTAGCATACTTTTATGTAATTTATTTCATCTTTTTCTATATACACGTCATTGACATCATCTTTTATTTTTCCCTCACGCGTGTTTAATTACGTTTACCCTGTTAATTTTTCTCTCGTTTGATATGATAAAAAAAAATTGTTAAATAATGGGACTTACTTTTAACGCCAAACACTTATGGAGAACCAATCTTCCACAGAATGAGTGTAATAAACGAAGATCAAGTGATCAAGGGGACATGGTTGCAGATTAGAGGTTCAATCTTGTCCATGATTAAGCTTTTGTCAACTTGGTGGGTCTTCTATATCTACCAAGCAGAATCCGGACAGAGTCGATTGGATCGTGTATCCATTTGCATGCTCTGTGAGAATATTATACGAACGATATAACACACCTATTTAAATGCGCATGCAAGGACTGGCGTCACCACGTATGAGACTACACGTTTAATCTAAATTAGATTACATCCATGAGAGTCGCGTTAGGCAATCTTGTTTCACGCTTTCATTATAAATATACGTTATACGCGGCTGTGAAAAGAGAGAAATAAAATAAATGGTTTAGCTATTGGTAACCGCAAGGCTATTAATCTCCTAGGCATGTTGGCTTGATTGCATAGCGAAATATACATATATATATTCTTTTGGTGAAATATCTGGCGAATGAAAATTTAGAATATCACGACAATTGACGTGCAAGAGCAATGGTGGTAAATTAATTTTAAAGTTTTGATTGTGTTCGTCGAAGTACGAGACTCACCGACTCGAATCAGATTAGTGTCAACGCTAATATCAACCTTTAATCGTATTCCTGAATTAACGACCACGTGTATGAAATGATATTTGCATCGCGCCGTATATATTGCAATAATACTCCATAAGCGTGCATATGCTGCGCGACAGCCAGTGTACACTGATATACATAATATCGACTATCAACTCGAAATTGATTATTATTTATTCGTATCGATATGATCATGTATTATCCTATTCACGCGCATAGAGACGAATTTGGAAATTATCTATATGAGGATAGGATTGATCTTTGTCCACAGACGGGAATCGAAACAGATATAAATAAAATATGATTTTACGAAGTTCGAATAAACTTGCGATGCAATTGTTATTGTCATGATGGTAGAATTTGGATAGTAATAATGAGTATAATATAATAGACTGAATGTAATATAATAACAGAGAGCTAAATTAGATGCAATATTAATGCACCCCCGGGTTGCTTATAATCGACATTATTTATAAGGAAAACAGTATTATTCATATAACAACAAATGTAATCTCTAATATGATTCCAAAATTTAATGAGATATACATATATAAATGTAACACTTTCGTTATATGTTTTATTCGCTTTTAGTTTACAAAGCTGTACATAGTTTTCCTTAAATTAATTAATGTAGGGTAAATAATCAGCTAAAGTTAAAGGAAATTTATTATTTGCGTGCATTTATTGCTACGATTATCGTTCGTAAATCGTGGTTGATTGAATAACGATTGAAATACATGTTTTATTTTACAACGTTCAGCTCTTTAGTTTTACGTGATCTAAATAAAAACTGGTGCATCTGGCGGAAAGTGGATACGTACTTCAGTTTGCAAGAACTAAAGTACGCCGGTTTCGATAGTAAAATTTCAAATTTTGCTATCCCGCAATAGCTGTGTCTACATAAATATTTTATGTTTCTGGCGAAGATGCTGGCAACAAATAGCTTTAGAGAACGAGCACGGATGATTGTCTCAACAATTTTTCTATCGTCGTGAAATCTGTAAAAGAGAATTAGTTATTTATGGATAGTTGAATTGATTACAGCGAATACATTTATTTTTTCAGTATTAGACTTTAGCGTGTACTCTTTATTTTGAAAATATAAATCTATATATAAATCTATATATAAATCTATATACAAATCTAATTTTTTAACTCTACAAGCAAATTCTAGAATCAAATTTGCGTGAAGTATGGCGTTAGCAGTTTTGTAAATTGGATCGTGCAAGACAAAAAAATAAAAAATAATGAGGAGACAGTTGGCCCATGGAGAATATATGTTTGTTCCCTCTTTTTCTCGATCTTCAATTGACACGTGCATCACGGTACGTGTCGATAAGAGTTGAAAGTCTGAAGTCCATGATCTTCCATCGTGAAAGACGTTCAACGTGTTCGGGATAGCAAGAAATAGACGATTTAGCTTCGTAAAATATTATAACAGCTATAACTGTAACGTTTAACAATCTGACAAATATTATATTTGTTGCGTATACAAGTTTAACCACTTTTCTTTTATAGAACATACAATGTTAATAATGATTCACATTTTCGTTTCCTTGTACTTTTTGCTTCATTATTTTGATTTTATTATGTATAATTATTTTTTGAACAATTATATAAAAATTGGAAACTACGGATATATTAACAAATTAATAATATCTGCAAATATTATTTGCAAAATAGTCACATTTATACAATAGATAAGGAATATAAATATGTATATATATATGTATATATTTATATTCCTGTATCTTGGTATCCATGATATTATATAATATGATATAAATAGTAACATATTGCATTGTATGATATATAAATAAAAGACGAAATTTTTAATTTTTATTTTTAAATATATTAAATTGCATAAATAAAAACGGAAGTGCGAATTTTAATTACTGGCAACAAGCCGCATTTACATATTAATATTGTGGCAGTAATGAATAATTCAATAGTACAGCATAATTATACAGTGCAAGTATTCCATGCTTGACAAAAGTATAATATTAGTTTTATTTACAAATGCTAGGGAAATGAATGTCGGCATCGTTATAAATTTTTTATTCAAATTCTAATTTTCTATTTTTTTGATTAGCTTAAGAATATGGAGCTTCAGCTTTATATTCTTTAAGCGTAGAGCGTAAGATATAGATAAGCCGAAAAATGCTTCGTTTAAATCTCGTAATAATAAATTAATTGTCTTAACGATAAAATTACTTGTCATCGAGATGTTTCATTAGTCATTTTGTAAAATGATTAATGTTGCAGTGATAAGTGTTTTTTACCCTATATTATCCATGAAAGAGCGATCTTAGAAATGTCATTGTCCTGGAATGTGTAATAATTGCTTCCTTTTTCTTGTTTTCTTACTATACTTTTTTATTTTCGCCTCTAAAATTTAATCACGCAAATTTTATTATATGTGATTAAGATTAATTATTAATACGATTAAAAAGAGATATCTGTGTTTCTTTTTTAAATCAGTCTTATTTGTAATATTTAATAATATTTGATTGCGTTTCGTACAAGCTGCAATATTTACATCGTCAATTACGTGATATCATGTTACGTGAAAATATGAATTCTTAAACACACTCTAGATGACCTATAATTTACGATCAGATTCAGAACAGAATTCTATGTATAATTTTACGTGTTGTTTAGCATAGAAAACATTTGAAAAAGTAAAATAATTATTAATATATATTTCCTGTATGTGTGTGTATTTTATTTCTTAAATTATTATATATATTATAAATAGAATTCTGTCCCGAATTTGGTCGTGAATTATAGATCGTCTAAAGAGTTTTAAAG